TATTCGCCGGTGATCCGATATCCCACCGCTCGTTTATCGGGTAATTTCATTGTGTGGTAGAATGTTGGACGAACGACAGCGGTACATATCGGACATACTTTCTACAGTTTTGCCGATGCTCTCAAACACTGCGCAGACTCCGGCATTAAGGTTGGGAAAAGAATATTATAAAAAGGTTTTGACAAAATACGTGGTAGTCTCAGCCTTTATGGGCAGATCGTTCAATAAATTCCCCGAATAGCCGATGATTAATTTATTCCAGTAGATGGAATCCTCTGATGCTAATCCAATTCACTTGCATTTGACCCTTATAGTAAAATCTATTGCATGCCTCGAGCCAAACATGAAGGGACTGTCAAAACAACTGCACTTATATTGGACTAAAAGAGCTTGCTGAACGCAAAGGCCGTTACAACCACGCTTTGATGAATTTGTTTAAATTGGTCTGAGAAGAAGACGCTGACATTGCCAATTCCAGGTTTTGTGAATTAGCTATCAATAAAAAAAAATCTGAGGAAATTCGACAAGCCTAATGCCATTTCAAATACTTTTGTTAACCCATGTAGCCTCACTTTGTCGAAAAACCCGATTGAGGCCTGCTAACAAGACTCGACCGCTGGGACTCCGGATTCACTTCCACCAATCATCTTCCAATAAGCCACTTAATACCCAAAGGCGATCATGAAACGGTGACTGTTAAAGAAAAATATGGGGATGGCAGTAACCAGAAGCGGTGAGGACTGTAATTGAATCTCAAAGTGGGTTTATGATGCTAACGTCTGTCTCGAAAAAAGCAAAAAAATAAGCACCTCACGGTACTTTTACTTTTGAAAGCCATGATGGCATTAATTTCAGATGACCCCATGTTTCATGAACAGTGCCTCATCTATTTAAACACACACCTGCAACACCTGGGTGCATTGTCGCAGGTATCTCTCGGGAAAATCAGTACAGTAAGAAAATCCTACTATAGATATTCAAATAACTTTCGGCTTATTTAAACAATATCCTGTCCTTTATCCACCTAAAAGCTATGACCTAATCTTTCAAGTAAAAGGAAATGTTAGGTAAAGGAAAATGCAATCGATTCACTTTGTTGAAAGCTGGACCTTTGACTTCGTGCTATTTTAAAATTTAACTTTTTACCTCTTTAAAAAATACCACTTGTAATACTTATAGCGTTATTCTTAATTTATTCGTTGTTTTAATTCCCATTCATGCTAAGTATCACTGGTCACTGGACTTGGAATGCATATGGACTCCATATTATTGTATACGTTTATTTAGGAATTTTATTGGTTTAATTGCTTGTTTTGAGGTTTAAATTAATGTTTAACCCTGCGTAATTACGTGAATTCAACCTACATGCCACTAATTAGTGAAAACTAAGGTCCTTTGATTTGGACCTATTTAATTTGACTTAACTTGCCGTGAGACTAACCAATGCTTCTATTGTCGCATATGTTGACGTATTTGTATATTTCAAAAAAAAACGTAGTTATAATTTAGACCTGCCACACTAGTGCTGGGGATCCACGATACCCCAAGATTGTTCGTCGCTGGTTGTTGGCACTATTTAGACAAATTCCCTAACACGTGTTTTATTACGCCTTTTATCAGGTCAACCCACGCCGCACGTGGCTGACGTGAATAAAGCTCTCTACTCGAGCTCTGGCTTTGTTCTTGTATTCGCGTGGGAAGGTTGGTTCTAGCGTTCAGCAAGGGATCTGGTGCCGTTATTTGAGTGGTTTTCTCTTTGTTACGGGCAAACGTAACAGCCAGTTTAAACGGATAGCACAAACATCGTAGAAACCGCAGTCAGGTGGATTCTTCTTGCCTTACACGTAAATGATTTTCAGGTGGTTTGCACGATTCTACATTCTACCAGGCCTTTCCACAAAAATATGCCGGTGTACCCATATAGCCTCTATCACTAAAAATACTGACTTAATTTCTGTAAAATTTGCCAATCCTTCCAACTTTTCGACGAATTAAAATCTACCAGGCCTCTTACAGCCCCTCAACCAACCATCTTACACCTTTGTAAACATCCCGCATAATGCATTCAATCCGGACATTTTAAGGGCAACTGAAGTCAGTTACAGTAAACTAACATTACTGCATTACTTGAAGTATCGTCCTTCTTCAAGTAAGTATGATGTTGCAACCGCGGATCGAAAAATCCTTGAGTGAACTCGAAAAGGGGTTGACTGTAATACCAAGCTGTGCATCGATGTATTTTTTTAAGGGGTTGCTAATTTTCAATCCTTTCTGAAAGACATAAAACATTACGATTTGCACTTGTGCACTTAATTGACTGTAATTGGTAAATTATTTATGCATGAGCTTCATCTTGATTGATCCCTTCTTTTTTTTTCACTAAAAAATAATAATCGTCGTCATCCGCAGCCTATCATTGATCTGACTTGCCAAAGTTGTAATTAAAGGGAATTTTGACCTGATTATTGGCGAAAATGTAATTTCCTCAAATTAGCTGGGGTTAGGTGTGCCCTGTAATCATAGCTTTTATGCCACGTAAAAAAATTTTGACAGGCTAAATGGTAGCTTTTGTCTGGCAAACAAAATGAATTTATCAAGAATTTTGTTTGAATTGAATACACGAAGAACATTGAATGATAATGACTTTCGCGTGACTTATTGTAAACTAAACCACGGGCAAGATTTCTGAGGCACTGCATAGTGCCGACAACTGGATTGTATTTGGACATTTAGAGTAGTCTGAATGCACTTCAGGCCTCCATAAATGTGTTCTGTGTGTTTTGTTAGAGCGAAGCAAACGAAATCGTTTTTTTAAAAGTGATATTCAATCATTACTATGAATAAAACAAGCCATTTCCGGACCAAGTCACAAGTGGAGATGAAAAATGGTTTATGTGCAACACCGTCTAGCTCAAGATATTGCGCGATGCAAAATGTCGCGCCAATTTTGAAATCAAAATAATTTGAGCACAATGTCAAGACCACTAATTTACTCCCTACTATTCCCTATAAGTCCCTCAACGCTGGAATTGTGTTGAAATCTTTCTTGTAAAAAACTGACTGGTATTTCATTGAAAGGAAGGTTGATTTTACCTTCCCCATTGATTCAAATTTTTTGCCATTCAAATTATCTTGCGAAGGAAATGGATGAAAATCCGGAGAACAAGGTCGGAGGAATTTGATGAGCGGTGGTGCAGAATCTCCCTATTCAAATCCTAATTTTTGTTGTAGTGTACGTTGGGTAACGTGGGGTTCTGCATTGTCTTGGCGAAGGATGATACCATTAAAATTGGCAATATTTGCATGTCCTGCTTGGAGTTTAGCATCGGGTTGGGTGAATTACTCATTGCAATTCTACGCCGTCACTGTACGGTCACGTGGAAAGCGATCGTAAAAAAACCTCATCCTCCGCAATCCCACCCAACACTTGACAGTGCTTTCCTTGAAAGCATCTCAGCCTTTACCATCGATTTTGTTCTTTCACTTTCATGATTCCATCTTCTTTTTATCAAAATGTTACATGTAAACAACTTTTCATCTTTAGTTGTGACCTGATCCTGGAAAGGCTTGTTTTATTCACGGTAATGATTGGATATCACTTTTAAAAAAACGATTTCGTTTGCTCTTCTCTAATTAAACACGCAGAACACATTTACGGAGGCCTGAAGTGCATTTGGGCTACTTTAAATGTCCGAATACAATCCAGTTTTCGGCATTATGCAGTGCCTCAGAAATCTTGCCTGTGGTTTATTTTACAATAGGTCACGCGAAAGTTATTGCCAATTGCGGGGTCTCACAGAGCAATTAAGCGTAAAGTCTGAAGTCGCCATTTCGCCACCCACTCATTGTTTAAAGCTTTCATGGCATAACATGTCAAGGAGGTAACTCTTAAGTTTAAATAATAGCCCTGTATGCAATTTAAGCAAGAACTGTTAAGTGTAATTAAGTAACCAACCGTTAAAAATACAATTATAAGGGGAAGAACACGAAGCTACACACTTCTACCATCCATGAACACTGGACATGAACTTTTGAGGTCACCCAATACTTTTTCCACTTGCACCTAATCTAGGTGTCAAACATTATCTTGCACAATAACCATTCTTCTTTAAAAAAAACACTATGTGGGGTGAATTGGGTATGCCCCATCGCTTTCCACTGAGTCCATCACACCATATAAATGTCTCTGAAGTTCGCGTAAGCCTAGCAGATTATAGTAATCAAGGTTAATGATTAGACGTTTTCTGATTTTCTCCATGATACAGACATAGGTAGAGACATCGTACGGTAACCAACATCAGTGAGGCATTTTACATTGCTTTTCCGCTACGCAATCCATGCGAAATCAGCAGTCAAATCGAAATTGGGAATCTCCCGTACCATTAATGAATATCGACATGCCACCAAGTCGAAAGCAATAAGCCGCCAATATGTACAAGCAAAAATGAATTCATTCTACCATTACTTAGGTGAAAACCAGCATCGATTTGACAGACTGGTGTGCTACTAAAGAAATCGTAGACTCCACGACGCATCATTTACAATCTTTATTGAGTTTAGGTGGCATTTAAAACATGTTAAATAGCTGCTCTGGTTAAACACGTATATAGTTACGTCAAGATTTCCAAAACAATGTCATACAGATGGACAGCACGAAGGAGATGCAGAAGAACCCAAAATTTACTACCGAGTGTAAAAACACATCGCCTCTTCATGGTTAAGGGCTTATCTATAACGCCATACAAATCAAGGCTCAGTTCTACTATTCCATTTGAGGAAAATATTCCCACAAAAGCATCCATCGGTTTCGTCTATTCGGAAAACTATGGGAGCACGTTGCAAAACTGCTACACGACCACGAAATTCCCCAAGTTATTTTCGAAGAGTAAAGTAAGAGCCTGGAATGAGTGGCCACAAAAAAGCGTACAATTTAATCAAAACAGAACACAAGGTCACAAAATCATGATTGGGGAGAGGCTATGCGAGACAACACCGGCCTCTCAGGAAATGCAATCGTAAGTCCCTTCGTTGGAGTCCACCACCTTGAGCGCTTTTTGTTCTAGGCCAGAAGCAGACCTGGTGTCTTGCGGACAAATATTGTGGAGCCTGTGTACTATGCTTGAGAATGCGGGTCGTTGGTGAGGATCCTTGGCCCAGGTGTCCAACATGAGCTGGTAGATGCCAATCGGACAGGCCTCTGGTGCCTCCATTCGTCCACCGGATTCCACGAACTGCAACACCTGACTGGTCATCTAAGGAGGAAATGTGCGACCTTAAATAATCAGTGTCGTAAAGTGTTGAATGAGATTGTGCATTAAAATTAGCTTTCAAAAGCAAACCATGTTCGGTTAGGAGTAAGAGCACACAATGTGGACTCTTTTTTATTAATGATTAAAGACTAAGGCGTGCACAACAGACCATGGCTGAAGGGTGATGTCACTGTAAACAGAGAAATGGCTAAATTCAAATTAACTCGAAATTCGTGTCTGTCAAACTGACCTAGAGACTACAAGTGATCTGGCATGACTTGTGGCCATCAGTTCACGTTTGCTAGCGCGCAAAATGTGTTTATGGCTTGTAGTGTTGTCAAATCTCGGATGCAGCTAGGGTGGTTGCAGTGTTCAAAGGTCACGCCTCCGAAGTAGCGTGGCCATTACTGCTTACTTACCAGGCGGGGATATGGCAAACGTCCGTAAGTGTACAGCTCCCACAACATCACACCGAAACTCCACACATCCGATTTGTGGGAAAAGACCTACAAGGAGAATGAAGAATACAACAAAAGCGCTACAAATTTGCCACAGTAGCCGTAATTGCTCAGACTAGAATTTTCACGCACCTGAATTCGTATGGTTTATTGTGCATATTAGTCATTATTGGCAGATACGTTACTAGGTATTTTTAGGTTGCTACATGTGCGGCTCAATGCAAATGAACCAATAGCCTCGTCATGCTGGTTGAAATCATTCATTGATCACGGAAAATTTTACTATCGGTTATGTTTGGGTACAGGGAGAATACGAATGCGTAATGTGGTTGCAAACTCTTGTAATATTTCAAGACTACGTTTAGTAGGCTCACAATAGCCGCCCAAGATATCACTCTGTTCAAAATTCAAGAAACAAAAAGTTCGCTTTTTGTGATGTCTAAATGATCAAGAACGACTTATTCTACGGTAAACGTTAACCACGAATCCAAAACTGAAATTAGTTCGAGTTGTGAATTGACTATGGCACAAAAATGTGATTAGAAAAACAAGAATTTAGAGTGGTTTCATTTTTTAGCCATGGCCCAAAGTCACAAATAAAGAATGCATGTGAAATGACGCGAAAGTAAGCAATACGCGGCTTTGAAATCTTCGCCCAAAAGAAGACTGCAAAGGCGAGAGAGAGAGAGAGAGAGAGAGAGAGCATACCCTAGTCCGAACACTCTCAGGCGCTGTCCATTTAACAGGAATTCGGGAGATCTTAGTCACGGCCTGAGGCCTGTTGAGCCCAAACGAAGAGGAGTGCATAAGTAATTCGTCTTCATCTGACTCGAAAGCGACGTCCTTGGCCACTTGCTTTGTGGCAGGTGTCAGGCGAAAGGCCAGACCAAAGTCACCTAGCTTGGCCACAGGAACTGGAACAGCGGAGGAGAGCAGAACGTTGCGCGCAGCGACGTCACAGTGGAGATAAGACCTCGCCTCCATGTAGGCTAGACCTCTTGCTACGTCCCTGTGGGTAAAAAGATCGTCGGTTCTTTAAAGTGATAAACATAAGCCGAAATTTGTACAAGGAAATATGGAGAAGATATGTACTAAGTACGGGACCATGTCTAAACAGGATTTCGAGAAAATCTGCTTATCTGAACCTTAACTGAAGTACATTGTATTCGGTCGAAATTAGTGAGTGTGGCGTTTAGTTAGGTTACAAGTACGAAAACATCCGATTGTTACCCCACGCGGAACGAGAAGAGAGGACAATAACAGGATAACTTGGGCAAAAATATAAATTAACGAGCGTAGTTTCTGATAATGAACTACAACAAAATCCTAACGCAATAGTTTGGAATCAGGACAATTCGTACGGAATTTGGAAGTAAGACAAGCAGATTATTCAGTTGCCATGTCACACGTAAAAAAGACAGTAAGTATGCCAACTCCCACTTAGAATTTCTGAGTACAAATGTGACCCTAAGCGTTAGAACACAATGAAGGCAAACTGTATCAAACGCTCTTCTAATGCCTCCGAATGCTTACCCTAAAATCATGCGCCAAGATACACCCCACAGCTGATTCAGCACGTCGAAATTGAGGAATCACACAGGTTGACACTATCCTACGCTGAAACACCCAACACAGAAGCAAAATAAGGAGGCGTAAATTATCCCGACACACAGTGCTATTGCTAACTTCAGGTCGATAAGAAAGTTGGCTTAGAGTTGACAATCTTCAGACCGCTATTTTTCGAGCATTTCTGGCACGACCTGTTACAGCATACCTTTCGTATTTTTTGTTGAGAGTTCCAGTTACTTTCTTACTCCACGGGAAAACAGCACTACCCGGGCTGCCCAAAATCGGCATAACGTCATAACGTCGTTACAGACCGTCTGCACACGTCATGAAGACCTTTCTCCAATTGACTTCGAGTCACAGAACGGAGTGGAGACTGGCAGAGCTGCACAAGTACTGTAACTTCATTTTCCCACTAAACCCACAGAATCGCCGGAAAATATTCGATGAACACTGCTACGTGAGCAGTACACAGTGCTGGCGTATTAAAGGGATTGTGCACGAATACTTTTAAACCTCGTAGCTGTCAATTATAATTGCAAACCCCAAATGACGATCAACTTATATTCCCGATTACCATTTGCAGCCTGTAACCCTTCAAGTTCATAAACATTCGGGAGAGTATGCTCATGTTCCACGCGCATAACCCCTCTCACCCGGCACGATGACCCAAAGTGCCGGAATAACCTCACCGTCCTGATCAATGGCCATCCAGGCCGTCTAAAATTGGACACAGTGCTGGGCTCCAATTCCGTGGCTAAGCATAACGTTACAGAAGGATAGCCCACCGGCATTATCGTGCCTTCCGCTACGATTTTCCAGCTTAGTCTTTGACATTGTCCTGAAAATCAAGACACACGCGTCTCGTGGGAACTAGTTTGTCTAACTAGACCTTATCAACGCTTGCCTTAAGGTATAATTCGCTCCCGAGTGGAACCCACCATTAACCACCAACACTCGACACGACCTGTTACTCTCGCAGTTAAGACGGCTCCGGCTGTGAATTGGGACACCTCGGTCGCTGGTGTCAGCAGAGCAACAGCAGGAATAGATTGAAGAGCAGGCCATTGTTTTCTTCACAGGTCCATTGTGGCCACTACACCGTGGTACTTACGGATCATAAGACATCGTTTTTGCATTCTAGGCTCCAAGTCAGGTATACCGGCGCATTTCACAAACTACTCACAAGGGTAAGCACCCATCCCACCAAGACACAAAGTCAACATTAACCGCAGGGAATTTCGGCCAGGTAGATGACCTACTACGCCTCATCAGCAGTCAAACGACCGCAAGAGAATATTGTTATTGTTACCATCTTCTACTAGCCAGTAGATTGTCGAACATGACAGGTGATACTCCTTATGCCAGAAAACGATCGAGAATTCCTAGATCTGCCGAAAAGCCTCAGTTTTGAGGGCACATGAATGTTGGTCGATCGATAAAAGAAGCTTTGTACCTAGTGCTGATTGACACCTTCTTAAAAATTGTCGAAGACTGTATAAATTTTCCAAAAAATACTCGAACGATGCAAGCAGTGACAAATCATCACCTCCCGTAGATTCTAGAAAGTTCTGCAGTCAGCACACCGTCAGGTTCACTTTTTACCACTCCACAGTCTGGCAAAAGGCATAACTACCCTTTGCATGTTCAAGCAAGTTATGATCAAATCTAGAAAAGAACGCCAACGGATGTGCTCCAGAAATTCTTGACGGGATATCGAACATCAGAGAGCAAGTACAGGCAAGACCACATGCACAGCGTCGTGTTAGGAGTAAAGGGAAACTAAAGAGAATAGCGGATGCTTTGCGATGAATGAAGAATCTAGTAAATAACTGCATAAATTATGCACTTCCAACTATGTGGATTAAAGTATATGCCCTCATCCAAAGAGATTGCATATTCGTTTTATCGGAAGCGAGCACACAGTTCCATGCGGTAGAGCTTAAAAGCAAACGTTAGATTTGCGCCAATAAACAATATGATGAAGTATACCTGACCGTTAATTCACCCACCAAGCATGACGAGCTATGTTGAGTTTATAGTTGTGAACACACAAGAGGTAGTTAAGGATAGCTGGGACTCAGGAGGTTGTACTTATGGGTTAGTAGTAGTAAACTTGCAACTTGAGTCTATAAAAATCAAAACACTGATACATGGGGTAAGGTGTGAGCTAAAATCCACAAGCCTTGATTGTAAACATTGGTACGACAAGTAAGCAGGAGTGAAAGTAGCGTGCGTGTAGCATGAGCTGGCTGTATTTCCATCTAAGCATAAACCCTATTAAATTTGTGGAAGACTCACTTGGCGAACGACAGCAGCGCAGAGGGCCCAACAAGCGCTCGACCACGAGAGCGCAGGAAGGAGAGAAGGGAGCCGTTGGGGAAGAATTCTGTGACCAGGTAAAACGTGGGGAGAGAGCCGGTGTCGGAATCGCCTTCCTCGTCTTCTGTCACTCCAAGCAGGGGCAACAAGTTATCATGGTTCAACTCCCTGAAAGAAACCCTCCACAATCAGCCAGGGAAGGTAGCAAGCAAGGTTTAACAATTATTTCTGCAAATAAAGCGCTTTAAATGTAATCCAACGTCATCAAAAGATGTGGCCAAATCGACTTGCAGAACGCAACGCAAATAACCGAAAACCCTCGTGGATACAAGATTCGTCGCGGCTACGCAGTATTACCATCGCACGCGCAAACACACAGTGGTACGACATGATTGGAGAAATCTGCGTAGGCGAAGTCAAAATTGAAGGGTGTTATAAAGCGATTCCACGTGGCGATTTCCAAGTAAGACAAGAAGACACTTACTCCAATCCGAAACAGCTGCACAAATGCGAAACGAACTACTAGCCTTTCTCAGCACAACAACGACGGTGATGAGCAAATAGTATACCTCTCCAACGCCGGAAGCTTACATTTGGTAAGATTATATCGGTTTTAGTGGATATGATTCACGTTAGGCAGGAGCCCCTGTAACAGTCAAAGTGATGCACATCTGTAACGGGTAATAGCGGCACGCAGCCGAGATCAAACACCTTAAATGTTTCCACACAAACCTTTCTCAAATTCAGATACGATTAGTTATATCATTCATTTGCATCCAGCGTTATGCTAGCTGTTATTTCACTAATTTTCCACTTTTAACAACTCAAAAGCGCAGTGGCAGCTTTCCCGTTTCGACTTTCAAGTCAAATCAATCGATTCCAGCCGAATAGATTGCTAGACATTGTTGCTTGTCCATTAGTTTTTTTTTAATTTAAGGCCTTTGCCTGCCTGTCTTATGTCTTATTCATGCCTACTCTTTACCGAACATATACATTCTCCTTTACTTTTAATATATAGTAGCGTGAGTTATCCTGACCTTTATCTGCACACTTACTTTTGGATGTGTAAATTCTAGCAACAGAACTGGTGGTTAGTAAATTAGGCAAAACTATCAGCAAGGCTATGAAAACTCAACAAAAATTACAACAGAAAAACATGGTGCAATATACATTTATCAATGACCGCTGCTGGTTTTTTTTTAAAAAAGACAACTAACCATGACAGCATGGTCACAAAATCAGCCTACGTGGTTCCAGGTAACTTTCAAGACCAAAGTGAAAAAGAAATTAGCGAGTGAACATGCGGTGGCGCAAAGCTTCGACATGGTGGCGCTGAAAAGCCTACCAGCCGAAAACTAGAAAGAATACCCACGAGCAATTTTTCGGGATATCTTTTGCACGCAGACCGAGAATGCTTTCTCTCAGACATAATTCAAGCTAAGGTGACAAATGACCTACAAACGAGCGTTCCGATCACGTTTACTTACAGACAAAGTGGGAATCTGGTGGTTCAATATGATAATGGACGGACAAAAAGCAAACCAGTCTTAAAACCTAAATTAGGGCCTTTATTAAACACACACACACACACACACACGGAACAAAAACTGTTAAAAGTATTTGCTTAAATTTTCGAGCATACCATTAATGTTTTAATTTCAGGAAAAGTTATGACAATGTTTCGAAAACAACACAATATTAGGGAATGCTAGGCAGTGAAATTCTGGTTGAATACTACACACCACGAGTCTGCAATACCCATCTTTACAATGGAATCTATAACTTGGGATCTTATGAAAGGAAGTGGCAATGTAGATTAGCTATTTCACAACAATTAAGACATACGACATGATACAAGCTTCGTAGATGAGTTGCGCTCTTGCAGATGCCTTGTAGCGCTTCACAGCTACGTCGCGATCACCCAATGTCGCCTTCAGCACTTCTGAAATGGCGAGAATAGAATAGAGTAGTGACGGTTCGAGGTCTCTGTTATGTAATAGGCCAAAGAGTGTTAACGAAGCCATAGTACAGTGGCAAGATTGCTGCGTGCGACCATACTAGACCTCGACATTAGCTTCAGTATTTCGGTCCAATGTTTGCTAAAGAACTTGTAGTGCGAGTCAGCACGACGAAATTCCAGTTACCTGGACCGATAAAATGCCAGACATAATTATGAAAAACACGGGACCTAAGTTGTGATGACACTGTGGGCGCGAAAATTAGCAGTCCCTACTTTTGACGTCGATTAGTTCTACAGTGAAGCAGGTTGTGGTTACTGGTGGCCGGTAAATTTTACGATACACCCACGGCCACACATGTGACACGAGGTGAGATTCATACAAATAGTTTTAATCTGACTCAGTTTTAAGTAAACTACATGGTAGTTCTGACTTTCAATATCACTAAAACGTATACAAATGGTGCAGATGGTGAGGAGAAGTCTCCAAGGGTTAAGTCCCCAAGAAAGTCCAATTTTAATTCAGAGCTTCATTCCTATTATTTCCCAGTGGTTCCTGCTATCGGTCGCTTGATAAGCACGCTCGCACACTCTTGCACGTGGACACACTTGGCTGGTCTGACATTAATAAACGGTCATGTCTCTGCCGTTGGGTTGTCAAAGTTTGTTAACTAAAAGGGTTGTAAGGTAGTCCAAACAAACTATTTCACACAAATTAACAATCATTTGAGTGTGAACGATCCCGAAAACCTAACAACTTGACGATGCTACCAGGCACACCATTGAGTGTTGCACTAAAAGGAAGAATTTTATACTATAGTTTTTTTCCGATAAATTTTGCGATTACTTTGCCAACAAGATTCCATCAGGTAAACTTTCTCCGGGCAGTCAATTTCAGATTGCCACTAAAGCCGCTTTTTAAAATAAAAAGACTAATCATCATTATGAAGTCACCGTCACAATCTCTATAAAATGAGACTACTTCTTCACAAAACTTTGAGTATGTGGAGAGCAAACGGATCCAAGTGGAATGCTTGTCCACGACAAAAAATAAGGTTTAGAGTGTCTCAATGGAGCATATTAATAGCAACCTTTAGAAACTATTTAAATCTTAACGGGGTAAATTTTCGCCAACACTTTCGACACAACATGTGGTAGAGACAGACTGTTTGGATTCGGCTAGCGTTACCCAAGTGACTGATGTTATGACTTGTCGGGAAGTGTTAAATGAGTGGTGTGCCAATACCAGCAACTATTTCAGCATCCCAGCAACCTAATTTGAGTGAATATAATGATCAACTTTTAAAATTTTCACAATAATAGGTGGAGACACTAAACTGACCCCCAAATTCGCCATGACCCAGCTTTTGGCCGAGAGTGAGGCGGTGGCGTGAAATCCAGTGATGCCTTCGAAGACGTTGAAGGTGGTAACGCTGTATGTCGGGGACTGGAATGGTAAGAGGATGGGCCAAACCACGGTCAGCCACCTTATAGTGCTTGAAAGCATGTGGAAGAATGCGCAGTAAGTGCAAACAAATGTGTAAATTTTAGGTAAGCATCGTGCTGGCTTTCCTTGCAGGAGGTGTACAACGTCACTAAGACTACGTTGAAACTGAGACGCCGCATACGCAAGACCACCGAGATACGTTATCACCAGAGTAATTTTGAGGTGTATAATTTTAAAAGCAATTACCGTAAAATAAACGTAAAAAGTCTAACATTTAAACCAAGTTACTGACGCCATAGGAGTCGAAAAGACACTATAAAACTTAATTAAAAACAGCCAAAACTTATAAATCCGATTACGAATCAAATGGATGCTATGATGATTAATTTATACATACCTCGACAAGTTTGCGCAAGCTAGGAAATAACTCCTCATTATCCAGTGAGAAAAAGACAGATGAAGGTGCATCTAGACTTGTCACCGAATGTATGTGATAATGCTGAATGGATGGTTCGTGTGTCCCAATGCACACTTTGTCCAAGCTGTCTTGATTAACAACCGACAATGTATAGTCCCCCACAAAACGGCACGAAGCACGAACAAGGAAGCTCCCCAAGGGCTTATCCTGAAGCAAGACCTCACTTTCTTCCCTGGATATTTTCCCATGAAGCCACCTAAAAGAGAATAAATGGACAGTCAATATATTTAGTTGAATAAGATCTACTTGCAAAAACAGGTTAATCTACGGTGGATCGACGTCAACTTCAACAAAATTCAGAGGGATTAGGCCAGTTTCTCCTTTTTTGTTTCTGGCAAGAGCCCAATTCCCATCCTAGATACATAGGTTTGCCTAAATAGTTTGTTTACCGTTAATTTGTGCAAAATCGTAAGGTGCTCATTCTTTTCAAACTCAAGGTCTTCGCTGCTTGTCTTCTCATACCTATAAACAGCAACGACATTTGTATGCAGATTCAGATTTGACATCCTTCCTTGGGAAAAGAATTAATCCAAAGCAAATATCGAGACGCCAAAATGACGTTCAAGTCTGAAAACTACATTCGACACTTGAACAGAAGAGCGAAATAAGGCCGCAACCATATTATATCACGTCAAGAGTTCAGCCAATCCTTGGTGTTTCGGAGCTGGTTTGATATATAGTGAACATCAGCAACTAACTAAAGGCAAATGTTCATTAAAAACAGGAATGTGCGGCATTTTAAGTGTAGCATTCTCGGAGTGGTGGTGCCTGATTGACATTTCTAGCACTTGATTTGTTAACGCTGACCTCCAGTCGTCATTGTAGGGCTCGGATGTTCTAAATTGGTGGTAGTAGATGCGCGTAGAAAGCGCAAATCGAATCCAAACCATAAAAATTAAAATTCCCCATATTATCTTAAATGTGCTTATGAATGCAAGCTGCAGTTAATGAAGGGAGTACAAGCAATGTTGCAACCTACAAGCTGCAGGTATTGGCCGGGATAAGGAACGCTGCAGCCACTGCTTTGGCTAGGCATTTAATACTTAAGTAAATTAAAATGTATTTAAACAGCAGTAAAATAAGCTACCTGTAGTATCCAACGTGGCCTTGCCACAATTCAACTAGTGATAGTAAGTCGTTAAGCATAAACTTAGTCCATTGGCCCGTTAGTTGTGCACTGTTGGCAAATTCGAAGCAAAATTATGACAGAAGGTGACGGCAGCTTTTCACGTGAAATCGAGGCAGTTTAGTGGTAGTAGAGGGCGCAGCCAAATTGGATTAGCCCATAAGCTAAATTAATATGCTTGTTTCTTTTGTTTTAATGGCCTAAGAATTAGATTAACTGCCAACCATAGACTGACAAATGCATAAAATAGCCGTTGTATCCAGTACGGAGTTACGAATTGGATGGTATGTAGAATACAAGAGCCCTAGTATTTAGGAGATTGGTAAAACAGAACAGACTTTATTGATCAATCATAAGTCAAAACCATATGTCAGGCGCCGTTATTCTGAGTCCACCACGCTGCTCATAATATACCGCTGCTCATGCATGTCTGATCTGGTTGGATGCATTTCTTCCTCGCAGGCCATTTGAAAATATGAGGACATAGGATTTGCAGAGGCTGGCGTGGTCCATTTTGTCTGCTTCATTTTACGTCGATGCAGGCACTTAGAGGAGGATGCACAAGATATGTCCATTTCGAGTCAAACAACATCAAGAGTCAGCCAAGAAAGAAATGTCTAAGGAATTTATACAAGCCTATTGTCATTTCTGGAGCTTCTAGTGAAGGATAATCACGCAATCCATCGGAAAAAGTTTAGGCAACAGTGACATCTTGACGGAAGTCCTTTAAAGGCTTACCTCTGCAACTTTAAAACATGTTTTTACATAATTATGCGTGCAGCGCTCTGTAGGTTTAGGTGCCTTTCCATTAGGTTCTGCAGATGGTTCATTAAACAGGCTTCTCTTTCGTTAATTTAACATCCAAAAGTACATTATGACTCTTTGAAAAGGGCGTAAAATGAATTAAGATCACCAATGAGCTTCCTAATCACTAATTTAGAAATTTCTACTGGTTGTTGCACAGCATGAAGTGACGTTCGGTCGCATCATAATTGACTTTTTGGCGTCTCTCTTTTCAAAACATTTCAAGTCCTAGGCGTTTGTACCTACTAATAGACATAACATGGTGATCTCTACATCCAAACAGGATCGTTCAAAAACTAAATCTATCGGTACAAAGCTGAGCGCCAAAATGACCGTTTGTTCGTAAGTTTGAAAAGAGCACCACTATTAGCAATAATGGGCATGCGCGCCGAAATAAAAAACAGCGATATCAGCCTTGTTAATTAAAATTAATTCGTTTGTATTTTATAGGTAAATATTTCGACAGTAAGTTAAATAAACAGTGAAGTCTAAATGGTAAATGTAAATTCAAAGCATTTTGTGGACTTTTTACCGAGTTGCAACAAAACCAAAATAGTAAAACAGAATGTTTAACTTACATAAAATTGCAAATTTTATAATACGTTTTGATAGGGAGCCGTTAGAAAATGTAAATAGGGAATCTATTCATGGTCCTGATTGTTATTAAAAATTCTAAGGAAGCATAAATATAAAAACGTGAGTTGTGTGTCACATCTCGTGCATTTACAACTTTGTATGAGACGCAGTGGTCTGCATAAAAATGTTTTGGCAACTCGTTCACTTTTAATTAGTTTTGTTTAAACATCAGAGTATTTGTTATGCGAGAATGAGTCTTGTTTTAAAACTATAGGTGGGAGGAGCATGTGTTCATCCACTATAACTGGAAAATGCTAAGTGATGAATCTTTTAATTTTCACGATCATTATGTTGACTTACGACGGTCTTCACTCCACAAAACGTGGAACATCTCAAAATCGTCTGAATTAGGCAGTGCTTCTAACAAGATTATCCCAAGATTTTATGTACTCACATCGTTTGGAGATATTAATTTGGAAAAGTTGAATGTATTAAATTCTTAAGAGTTGAAGAAACATTCGTTCGTGTGCTTAGGCTTTTTATCGTTCAAATATGTTTTTTGATATAGGAAATATGAAAATCTGGACTTGTCCAAACTTATAGTATAGGACACCATCCCTAAAACTAAGATTATTCCAAGCAGACCAAAGCACTCGCGCTTCTTGGCTGCTACCTGCCATCTCTTTGTCTGTAGGCTTGGGAGAGCCCGTGCGCTGCCTATCGTATATGAGACTTATGTAGGGATCTTCCGATTGAGCTGCACCCCAATTCTCAACCGTAGTTTGTTCCATGGAGATGGCGGCTACGTCTACAGTACGTTCCGGAATCCTAGACAAGGCATCCGCGTTCTCATGCTTTTTTCCAGGACGATACTCAACCTTATAGTTGAATTGGCTTAGCACCTCCAGCCATCTGGCAATAATGCCCGAAGGTTCCTTGAAGTTATTCAACCACCTGAGAGCTTGATGGTCCTTACGTACCACAATCTCATTGCCCAAAAGGTAGTGCTTATAGTGTTCTAAAAAGAACTTTAAGGCAAGCATTTCGCGTTTAGTAGTGCAGTAATTGCGCTCAGCCTTTGACAAAGCTCGGCTGCC